AGGTTACAGCATATAGGTATGGAAAAATAAGACAACATGTGAAAAGCATAAGGCACAACACATCTGAAACCTGCAGATATTTATGTATGGACATATTGTGTCATAGCATTTAAAAGAGTATCTTAAACACAATACACAGCTTTGCTCACACACTGCCATATCCATATGCAATTTGCAGTCTAGTGCTATCTAGGAAAAGCATGAACAAAATCAGCTCAAAGGATATTTTCCTAGCTTAAAAAAAAAAAACAAACAAAAAACAAAATCAAGACTAAAAATAAACAAGTATGTAGTAGAAATGATTCCTAGACTATGGTAAGAACAGAATTTCTATGTAGCTTGTGTAGTTGGGCCTTTTGGACAGTTATACTGTAGAAGTATACTTCTACCAAGTACTCCACCAAGCATATTTTTTGTCTGTTGCTTTAATGAAGGATGAAAAAACGACAGAAGCTGACTCCAACTGTACTGAAGAAGAGCAACAATTTAAAATATATTATATACTTTTGAATCCTTATGAAGCAATGATATTGTCCACAAGATTTATGCTAAATTAGTGCCTTCTTCCAGCCACAGATAAGAAAACCACGCCAGCTCAATACAACAATATATTAATATTATATTAATAGAGCAAACACAACAATTAGAATATAAAGAATAAGTGTGGGAGGAATGACATGCGGAAACAGGCAAAAACCATTATACAGTTTCAGAATAAAGTCTCTCTGTTGTGGATTCTTCTAGCATTTTCATGTGGTGGACAGAAGAACTATAGGATAAGTGCTAATTTCAAAATCTCAAGAAAATACCAGATGCTAGTCTCAATGAATTGCTGTCTTCCACTCATTTCATAGTGAAAGGGAGTGCTGATATTTAAAGTATAAGCAGCTTAACAATTATAATTTTGAAGTGAGAAGCAAAGTTTTAACTGTAAAATACTTACTCAAGCAAATAATCACACACTATTGTGTTTGTAGACAGAATCTGCAGAAGCAATACTGTATTTCTATTTTATAATTTGTTGCCATTTCTGATGGAACACATATATTGTTCACAGGCATCGAAAGCCCCAAATTGCTCCAAATCAGCTAAACTGAGTTTATACACTGAAAATAATGTTTTTCTAGTATTAGTAATGAATAAGTTCTTTCAAGAGAAGGCAAGAATAACTTGGGCACATGTCTGAAGCCCAACACACCAAATTTTAGAGCTGAAATCCTACCTGTATTTCCCTTTTCATCTTCTCGGATATGTAGTTCTTTTACAGAGTTCTCCAAATCCAGTAAATCTCGAAGTTCTTCCTTGTAAACCTCTATATAAGACACTTTGACATGGAAGTCAATGTTACAGTTTTCAGAAATATGCTGAAATAATTCCTGAATAGCCCGTGGGATTATGCCCTCTTCATCCTCTGCAACTGATGCTAAAATATAAGCAAAGATGTCACAGGAGCTTGCAGTCATTTTGCCACATAAATCACAACAGACTGAAGATTGAGATAAGTCTGTAACATTTGCTACTCAAAATACTGAGGAACCTGAAAAGGTCAGTGTTCCTAAGGATTTTTGTAAACATCTATTTTTATGAGGTTCAGAATATTTGTTTATATCCATCAATAGGATTCATAGTTAAGTTCTAAATTACATGTTATATTCATGGAAGTTATGAGAAATATGGAGTCTACTTTAAATCTGCCAGGGTATAGATTTCATGACTCCATAGTCACGGAAGTTATGAGAAATATGGAGTCTACTTTAAATCTACCAGGATATAGACTTCTTCTTTATTCATACTCATTATGATTGCCTCAGGGAACTGGGGCTGTTTAGTCTGGAAAAGAGAAGGCTCAAGGAGACCTTATCGCTCTCTACAACTACCCGAAAGGAGGTTGTAATGAGGTGGGGGCCAGACTCTTTTCCCAAGTAACAAGAGACAGGACGAGAGGAAATGGCCTCAAGCTGCACCAGGGGAGGTTTAGACTGGATATTAGGAAACAAATCTTCATCAAAAGGATGATTGGGCATTGGAACAGGCTGCCCAGAGAAGTGACTGGGTCACCATCCCTGGAGGTATTTAAAAGATGTGTAAATGTAGTGCTTTGGGCCATGATTTAGTGGTGAGCTTGGTGATGCTATGCTAGTGGTTGGACTTGATAACCTTAAGGGTCTTTCCTAACCTAAATAATTCTATGATTCTAAATAAAAGGAAGATTTTAATAACTATCAAGATATTTAGAATCAGCTATTTATATCCATTTGAAAGACTTAAATCATATATTTATATGTTGTTATAGAAATTTCTTAAAGAAAAAAAAAACAAAAGCAAAAACAAAAACCAGATTGAGGAAGTAAACAATTGCTTGACTAAAGCAGACATTTTCAAGGTAAGATAAAGGTAGCAAGAATCTCCAAAACACTGCATTTCAGGAAGAAATTCTAGTTTAAGCTGCACGTTAAAAATGGGCAATGAGCCAAAGTGCTTTATGTTATTTTTTTTTCTTAGATATGCCTAATTTATGGAGAATTTGCGTTTTAGAATAGTTTAATTATCAAATGAACATTGGAAACTTTTTTTTTACTCTACCTTTTTTTTTATTATACCTTAAAATTTTGCAGCATCATCTGCTATATATTTTATATTTACATTGCACAACTACACTGTTCACCAGTGAGAAGGAAAACTTTCTACAACCTACCAATGTGGCCACCTCCAATAGTGTAAGTCTTCCCAGAGCCTGTCTGCCCATATGCGAACACTGTAGCATTGTATCCTTCAGTCAATGACACTAGAAGAGGCTTAATGCAAATAGTGTAAACTTCTTCTTGGGTTGAGTTTTTGCCAAATACAAAATCAAAAGTGAAGACACGGTCCTTCCCAATGATAATCTGTTGTGTATTTGGGACTAATCTCACACACACTTGATGGTTATGAAGTACTTCTTTGGAAAGCAGAGGTCTGATTCGAACTGCAACTTTAACTGGGATCTCCTCCATGTCAGACTCCATCCCTGTGCTCCCCACTTAGTATGTTAACACACTCATCAGGAAATCTGTTCACGTAATTCACAGCTGTCTGTAACATAGAAGAAAAGCTTTTCCACATTCTATAATAAATAAGTTTCCTGCCAAAGCAGTAAGTTGACATTTCCTAAAAAATATATAAGCACCATTACACTCTTGAAAAGCACCTGATATAAAAGCATGCTTTAAAAACCTATTCAACATATGAAATGCCAAGCATTTTTAACTGTCAAGCACAGACAAAGGAGCTGTGTTGCCTACACAGGAGGTGTGATTTTGAAAGTATCTAATTATTACATATAAAGCATTTCTCTGAATTTAATCTGCATCTCAAAACATATTCCATTAATTTTTATTAATGATACATTTTAGCAACCATGGTTCCTTATGCTGCTCCCTGCACATTCTCACAACATAAGCACTGTAGGGCAGCATAACTGTAAATATCAAGGAACACCCTTTCTTTACAGCTCCCTTGCATGAACATTCAAAACCCCTCACAGACACTGATGGAGATCCCAGCACATTTTCTTTCTCTAATTCTAAGCATCCTTGCAGTGCAAGGACAAGTTTACTGAACTCCTCTGATTCCTGAACTCCCACACGCTGGTTGCCCTTAAGAAAGCTGTTATTAACAAACTGGCAGAACTCATCAGCTAAGACCACACATTCAAGCTGGTTGAAAACAAACAGCTTTGAACCGTTGTTGTCTTGTGGCTGCAGTGAGAAGAGTTTCTGCATTTTTTTTTATTCCATTTAGTTCAAGGGCTTCACCATTCAGAGCTGAGAAAATATCTGAATTTGGAGAAAGACCCATTTTATTGTCAGAGCAGAAGAAAAACAAGTAAAGCATAAGACTGAAATCAGGCTCGCCTCATAAAGGACCGGATGATCAGAAACAGTGTTACATACTTACTACTGATTCAAAACACACTTTGATCGATTTCTGGTTTTATTTATCCAGGTGCATTATTTTTATCCCCTAGCAAGCTCTGATCCAACATGCTGACACTCTTCCCTCCTTTAAAATTATGTTAAAACATCCCAAAGTAAAACAATAAATTAAACCAAGTCACGAGGGGGAGTGAGGGGTGGGAGAAGAGAGATGGGGGAGATGAAGGGTAAGGAGAGCGGTAAACCTCTTCTCTATTGTATAAAAGCGTGTGGAGTACTAAATAGCCCCAGAGCGCCCCCGCACGCTCCTTGCTGCCAGAAGCAGGAGCAGATGTGCCGGAAGGCTTTTTCTTTTCGCTGGCGGCGGTATTTTGCGAGGGGGCCAGTACTCTTTCCACGTTTGCCGTGTCTCAAAGCGCACCTTTCACCCCAAACCTGAGAGGAGCCAGGAACGGGATCCTGCCTGGGTCTCGGGAGTCGCCCGGGCCGCGGAGCGTCCCCTAGTTCCCCCGCCAGGCCGTCCCCCGACTTCCGCGCCTCTGGCCGCTGCGGAGGGTCCCGGGAGTTGGGGCGTGGCGGGACTGGCCGCGCTGGGGCCCGGCGAGGCTGCAGCCGCCGCTGTCTCCCCGTTGTTTACGGCGCCTCGCTAGGCAACGGCGGCAACGTCCGGCGGCGTCCCCGCGGAGTGGCACCGCCCGGTGCCCACAGCGCCCCCCAGCGGCGAGGAAGAGCCACCCGCGCCCCCCCCTCCCGCCGTCCCCGCAATCCCCGCGGGGAACGCACCGCAGCGTCTGCCGAGGGTCTGCAACCGCCCCAGAAAACTGAGAGGTCTCCATGCGATTTATATGACTGCAGTTTATTCAAGAAATCAGACGGTACCTTCACCGGTCATACACAAACACAAAACTGGAAACAGGCGCGATAAGCCCTGCAGTGCAGGGGGCTGCCCAGCTAAAATCACACAACAAATTCCAATCACAGCAAGAGAGATTCAGAGAAAGAAAATAAAAGGCAAGTTGTTAATTCATCATCAGGAAATGAGCATTTCATTTAGCCCGTTCCAAATTAGTATGTGACAAAACACCCCACAAAATGAGTAATCATAATTCAACAAATAATGCATCAACGCAACAGCCATCGGGCTGGACTTAGTAATAGATAGACCGCACCTGGTGGAAGGGAATGTCTTTCATCTCCTCCCGGTGTTCCCGGGCATAGTCCCAAAGATAGTAGTCGAGTAAAACCGCATTGATTTTGTCACGCATGTCCTGACCCTTCTTCTCATATAGCTCCAAGAGATGCTTACAAATCAAAGCGCAACACCAAATGGAACAGCCACGGATCTCTACCTCCTCTTTATCTCCAGACTGGAAAACTGTCCCTGCAGGACACGAAGAGACAGCAATCCATTTATATGCAAGAGACAGAAGACCCAGGATGGCCTGAATTTGCCTTACTCCCCCCCCCACATTTATCCTAAATGAGAACTGCAGTTTTCATGGCTAATACACTGCAACTGCTAACAGTGTTGCTATGCATTTTCTAATTACTAATTTTATCATACGCACATATAAGTTCACCCCCCATTCAATTAAAACAGCATCCGGTATTTTAAGAAAGTTGTTTAAGAAAAGAACAGGTGTTTGGGTTATACTGCACATTATATGACTATTTCTTTGCTTGTGGACACAAAAAGGATAGTCAAATGTAATTTCAATACCATATATTTTCTACCAGGATAATTCTATTCAAGATTAAAAAATTAAAAAAAAAATCCAAACTGAAACAAACAAAAAAAATCCCTTCTTTCCCCCTTTCTCCCCCCCCCCCAAAATACAAAACAAAACTAAAATCATCAAGAAAGCTACCTATATATATATATAAATGTAAAGGGACTCATTTGTTTGAATGACTTGGATGGGACTGTCCTTAACTAGGTTTCATGGAAAAGATAAATTGTCTACATGATCTATTTAATACACATATATTGGCATATATATATGTGTGGCCATCCTATTACAATCCATGGATAATTGTATTAATCTATTTATCTTACTGTGTAGTTTTAAAATTGCATAACAGCAGTCCTACCTCTAGACACAGTCATTTTACAGTGGATGAAGGGTTGGTTTATGTTTTTATTCACTGATGTTCATAGTACCAGAAGATGGAACTGTGCTTAGAAACAAGACTGGAGTTTGATGAAATTAACCTCAAGCAATTCTTTTTTAATGGATGCTTAATATTACCTTGCTTGTCACCAGCAGTCCAGTACAGGAATCCCCATTTATATAATCTTTGAACTAATGAAAAAATAGTCGCTTCTGTTATCTAAACTTCAAAAATCATAACTATACTTATGCTGAAGCATGGTTTTGGCAAAAGCAGCCCTTCAGAAATTTAGATCTTAGAGTTTCTTTAATGCCTCCTTTACCAATGTTTAAGCCAAGGAACTGTTAGACCTTTATAAAGGCGTAACCTTAAGATGTCATTCAAGATCACTGTTAAAGCTCCTTCTTGTTACCTCATCACTACGTTAGTAGTCCTTGTTTGGTGGACAATAAAATTACACAACCCTTTTGTCCACAACATGGACAAAACATTACCTGTAAAAGAGGCAGGATTACTTGATATTAGTAAGGGAGGAACAAACCTTCACGTAGTTTCTTCATTAGTTCCTCGGAATATTTCATTGCTTTTAGGTGAACAAGAACCTGGGGAATTCGATAGTCAGCAAATATAGTCAGACTAGAAATGTCTTCAAAAGAGCCATCTCCTTTGCCTTCTAATACACTCCATGTATCAGCCACAAGTATTTGTGCCCGTTTGTAGAAAGACACCCTTTTTTTCTGAGGAAAGAAATGTATTAATAATTAAAGTACCTGAAACATCAACAAATACAGCAAATGGTATGTACAGAAAGAGACATGTAAGAGTTACATTCTATGAAATAAACTATTGTGTTTGTGGTTAAGCAAATAATAAAAATGCAACACTCTTTAACAGCGTAAAATCTAAACAATATCAAGCCACAAACAAGTATCATGTGGAATTCTCATCCAACCTTTTATTTCAAGGAGAAAAAACATGTACTGGATTAAACAACTGAAATATTTAATTAACTCTGTTTATCTGTAACGTTAATGAGGTAAAATTCTAGTCACACCACCTACTAAAGGGCAGATTTAAGTGATAAATTCAATAGGTTCAAAGCTCCAGTGACTGGTGCTCCATGGAGTTACCTTGAGAGGACTGCATGGACTATTGGTATACGCCATGCTGCCAACAGCATAGTCTTTAAGACGTAATGATACAACAGTTGAACGCTATTGCAGATGGGACTGAGCACAGGAGCGGCTACGTATGTCACTGATGCTAAATGAAGATGTTGCCTGTATAGGCAAAACCAGAGACACGGAAAACACCAGATAGTGTCGGTCTACTTCCCATCAGTTTCTTTCAGGAAAACAGCTCCAAAAAGCTTCACTATACTGTCAATCCTGACAAAAGTTATCAGTTATTTTTGGCCTGCAGTCATTTGTGCAATGCCTGTTGAATCAACACAAGTTATAGTGTGGATTCCCAGTAGTTCTACATTTTCACAACTCTACCAGTTTCGTTTCCTTCTTTAGCTGCAAAGAAACTCACGGCAGAAGGAGATGGGGAATAGGGACTTTCAGTAGCAACTGAAGCAAAGGGGGGAATGATAAATTTGTGATTTTTCCAGGCAGTAATCATCTCAAATGTCATGCATTTGTAAGGAGTACAGAGGAGTCATGATCTACCTAGAACATGGAGTATTATCAAAATAAATTACAACAAAGCAATGAAGATAGAGATAGCAAATGAAAAAAACAGCTCTCCCCTGGCGGGGTGGGGGGGGGAACATGACTCTTGTTTTTAGAAACACATTCCTGACTAGGTAAGGACTTAACTCAATCAAAATTCTTTTACTGTTAATAAACGGTGTGATTCTGTTTTCAGAGGCTTAGACTGATGAAGAAATGAAATCTCAATTCTCTTACCCCAGCTTATCAAGAAGCATACTGTGGACCAAGAGTATTATTAAAAAACCTTCTTCCTTATCTGTCTGACTCTTAGCAACTAACATAATTAAGATCAGCTGCTTCACAGTCTGATTTTCGTTTCATTATACTCCTGTATATCTTTACCGATTTTAGGCAAAAATATTAAGAATAACTTTCCCCTCTTATTTCCTTTGAATTTCACATATTCCACAGAAATGTTTCTATTCACCTTTCATTTCCTGGATTACACACCGCCCCCCCCCCCCCCCCCCCCCCCCCAATTCACAAATATTAGATCAATTCCAAACTAACTTCTCCGAAAAATTTAGACAACCTAAGAGCTATCTTTTAAAGTCACACAATCAAGGAGGAATAAATTCTTACCAGAAGAAACTTACTGTTAGAACCAGCTTACCTCATATACAGCTTCATCTCTGTAAGAAGGAAAGTTTTCCAGTATTAGATGTAGTAGTTTCTGAGCACTTCCCTTACTCATTTTAACGCAGGTGAGAAAAGAGCCTCCAAACTTCTCCAGCAGAACTGTTCCACTTTCATTCAGCACCCGATGTCTTTCTTCAATCAAAGGTATGGACACTTCCGTGTCAGAGCGAAATATGTGTTTAACTTGGTCAAGTGTCACAGTGGCAAAATATGATGCACTAGTAATAGGTATTCCTTTAGAAAAAGAAAAATAAGATGCTTAGGCTACCATAACACATCCCAAGATGTAATGCAGAGGACTGCCACAAATGGAAGCATTTACACAGTAAGATCTAAGAGTCTATCAACCCTTAAAACAATTACCTGAGTGTTCAGTGATAACCACACTCACTTGGCTGCCTAAAAATAAATCTGTGTTTGCACACAGTCCTTCCTTCTACAAATACCAGTTTCCAACATGGCACCATGGAACCCTTATTACTTTTTATATGTAATTTTTCCCAACTGCTTAGTCTTCACCTTTCAGTGGGATGTTTACCTAGCACGTTGGCAAATATAGTTCATATACAGATAGTTTAGTCAGCATAGGCATGTTTTTCCTTAGCTCCTAATCACATTATGCATTTATAATAAGCATCTTAACCAAACATTCCCATAATTTACAAGCAAATATCATAGAATAGTTAGGGTTGGAAAGGACCTTAAGATCATCTAGTTCCAACCCCTCTGCCATGGGCAGGGACACCTCACACTAAACCATCTCACCCAAGGCTTTGTCCAACCTGGCCCTGAACACTGCCAGGGATGGAGCAGTCACAACTTCCCTGGGCAACCCATTCCAGTGCCTCACCACCCTCACAATAAAGAACTTCTTCCTTATACCTAACCTGAACTTCCCTTGTTTTAGTTAAATCCCGTTACCCCTTGTCCTGTTGCTACTCTCCCTGATGGATTAAAACTTCCAACTATACCTACTAATAGGGCTTTTTTTCTTATGACAGCAACAAGAGTTAGCATTAAAATACTGGGTTTGAAGGATACAGGTTTTCAGAGTCACTGGAGCTGCTTTGGTACTAAATTAGTAGAAAGGATGCTCAGCTGAAGTCTTATTTTCTTATTTGTCATGGAAACATGGAGTTTTCTTAATAACACATGTGAAATAACAGAAGTCCCAGTTTATTACGAGCACTCCTTACAGTTTTTTTAATGGATAAGCGGTAATACAGTTAGAGCCACAAGTTACCCAATTTCAGCAATAGGTGTTATTAAAGCACTTCCAGCTACCTCCTGCAAGCCTCACAGATTGGCCTGCACATACAGGTTTATCAAAACGGTAAGCTGTAGTTTGCAGAAGTGGCTCCTGTTTCACGGAATGGTTTTGGTGGGAAGGAACCTTAAAGCTCATCTGGTTCCAAGCGCCTGCCACGGGCAGGGACACCTCCCACCAGACCAGGTTGCTCCAAGCCCTGTCCAACCTGGCCTTGAATACTTCCAGGGAAGGGGCAGCCACCGCTGCTCTGGGCAGCCTGTGCCAGTGCCTCACCACTCTCTATTTTACGCTTATAGCCCCGTTTCCAGCGCCCCCCGCCCGACCGCTCAGTGGCTCCCGCGACCGCCTTGAGGGACGAGGTGAGGCCGGGCCCCGGCACCGGGTGTGGGGGATGTGACGGGCAGCCTCGCTCCCTGGCGCTCACTGACCGTCGTCAAGGGCCCTGTTGACGGCGGCGCAGAGGGACCAGTACCCGCTGTACATTTTGCCCTTGTACTTCACGAGGTACTTCTGCTCCTCCCGCTCGGACCAGAAGGAAAAGTTGAGTGTGTCTACCAGGAACACCCATGCCACCGCCTCCTTGCTGGCGGACTGGGGATTCAGCTCGTGGAGGCTCTTCCACCCCTCCAGCCCAAACTCCGCCGTCGAAGCTTTGTCGAACAAACTCTCTGCCACCCGCCGCGCCCCCTCATCGTCCACGGAGACATCTTTGCTGTTGTCGGCTATAAACTTGGCGGACTCCAGCGGGGACGGGAACACCTCCATACTCGACCGCCTCTGTAAGGATAGCAAACACGCACGGTTTTCAAAGCCGGCCCCTCGGCTCCCATCCCAGCCCCACCCAGCCCGCGGCATCACACCTGTGGAAGAGACTCGGCAGCGGCTCTCCGCACTCCCTGTACCCCACCGACCCTCCCGCACCCGGCTCCGCCGCACGGGTCCACTCACCGCCAACCGGGCTGCAGCCGCCCCGCGCTGCCTCCCCTGCACAGTGCGCAGGCGCCCAGGGCATTCGGGGCGGGCTCAGACGGGCGCGGTCCTTACCGCTGCCGAGCTGGTCCTGGCTCCCCGCCGTGCGGTCTGACGCCAGGAGACCCCCGCTAGGCCGGGACCCCCTCCCGAGGTGGCGGCCTTCAGAAGAGCTCCGCAAGCCAGAGCTGGTGTTCAGCGGCGGGCACTGTAAGGCCGGGCTCGCTACCTGCACCCCGTGGTGCGGGGCTGCCCTTGGGCAGAGCGGGACTCGGGGCAGGACACACACTGACTCCATGGTCAGCCTGAGGGAGGCCCCCGGTGAATCCCAAATCATGGACAGTTATTAGAAGAATCCCCCCCCCCCCCCCAAGATCCTTCCCAGCTGGGGCAGCGCACATACTCGAGTTGGAATTTTCGGAAAGATCTGCATCATTGAAAAGACAAAAAGGGGGAAATGGCGGGTGGAAGTGGACAGAAAACATTTACACAGGGTCACTTGTGGAGCTTTCCTCCTGCTTTAAAACAAAACCCGAACAAAACCAAAACACCACTGCTGCATCCTTCTGAAACTGCACAAGTTGGAGGCACGCATTAAAACTGGGCACCTGCATTTCACTTAAAATCATGTAACGGTTTGGGTTGGAAAGGACCTTAAGATCATCTAGTTCCAATGCTCCTGCCCTGGGCAGGGACACCTCTCACTAGACCATGTTGGCTAATGGATCTGTCCAACCTGGACTTGGAACACCGCCAGGGATGGAGCAGTTACAATTTCCCCTGAGCAACCCATTCCAGTGCCTCACCACCCTAACAGGAAAAAATTTCTTTTTAAACCCATTACTCCTTATCCTATCACTACAGTCCCTAATGAAGTCCACCCCCAGCATCCCTATAGCCCCCCTTCAGATACTGAAAGGCTGCTGTGATGTTTCCAAGCAGCCTTCTCTTCTCCAGGCTGAACAGACCCAACTTTCTCAGCCTGTCTTCATAGGGGAGGTGCTCCAGCCCCTTGATCATCCTCGAGGCTCTCCTCTGGACTTGCTCTAACAGCTCCATGTCCTCCTTACATTAAGGACAGTGGAACTGCACACAGTGCTCCAAGTGGGGGTCTCACAAGAGCAGAGGAAGGATGAATTCCTTCGACCTGCTGGCCACATTTCTGCTACAGCCTGCCATACAGTTCACTTACCTTTTGCCCAAAACTGCTGCCTGGATTGCAGGTTTCTCCCCCAAATTTACCTTCAGCTTTCCCCACGTGAATGACAGTGCCAGAGGTAAGCCAGCACAGACCCACTTCATCTGCCTTCTGCAGCCAAATATCAAAGTGGTGATGGATTTTAACTCTGCCAACGAGGTCAGCCTTATGCACAACCTCTTAGCTCTCTGCCTTTCCCATTAAGTTTCAAGCACCTGCTGATGTGAAATGTTCTACAAGACAGGGTGGGAAAAAGCCCCAAACCAAGAATCCATGCTCAGTCTGGACTCACATATGCCACGCTCATGTTTTTAATGGTTGTTTTTATTCAGGAAGTAAAATTAACATTTTTAAACTATAAATACAAATGCCAAGTTATTACATGAGATATCCAGAGGCTTTATATTTTTTAATTTCTCACAAATAATTCCTAAGGAATTCAACATACAACAGGGAAACCAAACAAGTTTTGCATACAATGAAAACCAAGTTACAGTTAGATACTGTCAATTTGCCAATTTATATGGATTTCTAACCTCATATAAATGAAAGCTCATAAAGTAACTATAATTAATTCAGTAACGGTACAGCAACTGTCATTTCTAACAGTGTTATCTGCATTAAGCAAGCTGTCTATAACCAGGTGTACTTTACCACTGCTTACTCAGTGACATCACAAAGTTTTAAAATATTTTATTTATATAGTTACCAATATATATATGTACTGCAAAGAGGGCCAAACACTTGAGAAATGTCAATTTTACACAACATCTGCATGAATATTTCTGCATTTTTTTCCCCAAAACAGCAAAGCAGAGTCATTCTTTTCACACAGTTTCTTTAATGTGTCAAAAACCCCACACAAATCAATCTATATAAAAGAAGAGCAAGCTTAACTACAACTTTCTCTCATGTGGGAGAAAAAACCCCAACATAACGGTGTATCTATTTTAGACATTATCTTACATGTATCTGAAGAAAAGTCACTACCAGAACAGGTTCACTAATTTATTTAGAAATCATAAAGTGTTTCTTAAAAAAGAGCATTACATTGTGCACACTGCTCTCAAAGGATGCCAGGGACATATGGACTAACAGTATTGCCCCCACTTCCAAAGAAAAGATACAGTGTACGTAAAGCAGGGTGTTCACAACAATTACAATGAAAACATTACAATCTACCACCAACAATGAACAAAAATGAAAGTCACTCTCTCTGCTGCTGCTTCAAAATTTCCGTGTTAGTTTTGTGTGCCCTTTCCCTCCCCCCATGTGTAAGGAATTAAAACATTACATCTGGTGGACAGCAAAGATTCCACTACACCTCAAATGCAGAACACCTATGAAGCAGAGGAATGTTGGCTTTTTAAACAGAAGCAGATTAAAAAAACAAACAAAAAAAAAAGGGGTGCAGGACTCCTTCAGTTCTTCACTAGTCTTAGAAAAACTTTCCAGAATACTGCTTCACACTATAAAAAAGAAAAAATAATCTTGCATTAGAATCCTTCAACATCTGCATACTGCTTCACACTATAAAAGAAAAAGAAAAAAGCATGTATTAGAATGATGGACCATACATCTTGCATCAACATTCACAATTACATTCTTAGAGCAGATTAAATTGCAAATTCCTAATACATTTAGAAGTATATAATTCCAAAAGATGAATGGCTATTATAGGTATATTAATATGTTTTAGGCACATTTAAAACTTAGTACTCTGAAGCCAAACATTTAGAACAGTAAAATTTGCTATGACAGCCAACACATTAATAAAGCAAAACTAACCAAATTAAATCTGAAGCTGTTAGTATTTGGTGGAAAAGACAAAGTAATGTCAACAAGATACGAAATGCTGCGTAACAGCACCAAATCGATTTCAACTTGTCCTGTAGAGGCATGGTCTGTGCCATATGGCAGACTGTGATTTGTTGTCAATTTAGTTATCTAAAAACAACAAAATCACTAGTCTTCCACACAGAACTAGGCCAACATCCACTGTAATCTTCTATATTTTCTACAGGCTCTATGTAATTTATTACAAGTAGTTTTTTTGCAGCAGTTTTCACCACAGAAATGAGAGGACTGCTTGGTTAAGGCGTCTTCCAGCAAGATTAGTTTTGAGGGTGTCTTCATTTTAATTAGAATGGAGAAATGAAGATAATCAAGGCAGAACTACCACTAGCGAAGTTAGGTTCAAATAGTTACTTAAAACCTGCCTTCTAAAACTGTATCGCAGAAATTAGTAGCTTTAGAATGTACACGTCAGTCAGTTTAGAAGTTGACAGCAGGGATGACATTAAACTTTAACTTGCCTGTTCTGCAGTAAATACTGTGCATTTTGTATCTGGTCCTGTGTTCCCGTAATAGTTATTATCCGATCTTCTGAGCCTTCTAATGGTTCATCAATTTTGATCGAAGCTCCCGATTCATGACGTATTTGTTTGATTCTCTGGCCTCCCTTTCCAATAATAGATCCTGCCAACTAGGGGAAAAAAGCAAAGTATTCATTTCCCAGTACAACTTTCTAAAAACACTTAAAAAAATCACAGCCATGTTTACATAGCTTCTGTAAGTTTAAAGAGTTGCAATGGAAACTTACTGCTCTACATTCTCAGAACATACCCTGCAATATTAATTGTATAAGCATAGGTGGGATGAAAGTGGGGGAACCAGTTCCAATTTGCAAAAAGCAAGCTACAGAGACCATGTCTATTACTATTACCAGTTATTAAAATTGTCTAGTGTGTCTTTTAAGTGAAGACACAAACCCAACATTCAAAGCATAGATTTTTGCTGATTTAGAAACACTCATTTTATACTGGAAGTACTTATCAGAAACCCTGAACACTTCTGATTTACTTATATAGTCTGAGAAAAGGTTGTAATTTTTTTGTTACTTTGTTTTTCTGTTTTTTTTTCGGGGAGATGTTTGGTTGTTTGGTTTTGGGGTTTGTTTTCTGTTTTGTTTTGTTGTTGGCTTAATGAACACAAGCTGAAAGCTCGTCAACTTTACTTACATCTTTGGGAATTGTTACTTGTGTTGTGATGATCGGTCCACCAAGGTCTCCATATGAACCACGTCCCCCTGCGTATGAATAATCTGATTTAAACGTATGCATCAAGCCCTTCAATGACTACACAATGAAGTACATGTAGAGGGTTCTATATAAATACTTACCATATCCAGAGCCACCCTCAAACTGTAAAAGAAAGAGAAAAAAAAGTGAACAACCATGCTTCATTATCATTTTCATCTCATGTATCATGTGGTTAACTCTGAGCCTATTTTACACAAAAATCTCAACTCCCAACTTCACTAGAAATACAAGTGCTGTGCTATCAAACACAATAAAGGGGGCAGGGGCTGGCCCCTTTGCAGCCAAAGCCAGTCAACTGGACCACCAAAATGGACCACTGCTGCCTAAACCTGAGACCATCAGCAAAGTTGGTGGGACCCCAGTGCTAACATTTAAGAAAGGGTAAAAAATCCCCAGTGTACACCAGGGAGAGATGGGCTAAGGGGCAACAGTGAGACAAACAGCCCTGTGGACACCAGTGAACAAGTAGACAATAGTGCTCCAGGCACTGGAATAGAGATACTCCTGCAGCCCCTGGAAAGAATCACACTGAACCAGCCAGCCATAATGCAGCCCATTAAGGATGCTATGCTGGGAGCAGGTGTACAGGCCCTGAAGGAAGCTGCAGCCCATGAAGAGCCTACACAGGTGCACATGCCTGACAGGACCTGTTGCCTGTTGGGGGATCAACACTGGCACAGTCTGTTCCTGAAGGACTGTACCCCATGAAGAGGACCCACACTGGAGCAGTTCTTCAAGAACTGCAGTCCACTGTTAAACACCCCCATTTGAACAGTTTGTGAATGACTCCATCTCATGGGAGGGACCTCACACTGGAGCAGGGGAACAGTGTGAGGAAGAAGAAACAGAGATAAAGTGTGATGAACTAACTGCAGCCTGCCATTTTCCATGCCCCTGTACCACTCACGGCAGAGGAGTTAAAAGAGTAGGGAATGAAGCAGTCAAGTTGAACCTGGGAAGAAGTGAATCGTGAGAGAAAGGCATTTTAGTTTTCCTCTCTGTTTCTGTCCGTGCTAGATGTATTTTTAAGTGGCAGTAAACTAATCTTCCCCAAGTTGACTCTGTTTTGCCATGATGGCAGCTAGAAAGTGATCTCTCGATCTTGAGCCACAAGCTTTTCCATCTTATTTTCTCTCCTCATTCTGCTGAAGACAGAGAAAGAGCAGCTGTGTGGACACCTAGCAGCCAATCAAGTTCAACCAATCACAACTACCCATCCCCAGAAGTTGTAAATCAACAAGTTTTCCAAAACACTATTTGCCTGCTACACCCTTTTAGAAGATCAAACTGGAAGCTGCTCAGACCAAAGATCTGAGCTTATCCTCTGTCTCTAAGCAACTTATCACACAATCATGCTACCTGGTGTCCTGGTTTTGGCCAGGACACAGTTAATTCTTTTCCTGGTATAGTAGCCAGTATGGTGTCATGTTTTGGCTTTAGTCTGAGAAGAATGCTGACAGCAACAGCTAAAACACTGGTGTGTTAAGTACCACTTACCCCGATAATCAAAGACTTTTCAGTCTCTCATGCTCTGCCAGAGAGGAGGGGCACAAGAAGTCAGGAGGGAGCAAGAAACAGGACACTGACCCAAACTAGCCAAAGGGGTATTCCATACCACAGCATGTCTTGCCCAGTATATAAACTGGGGGGAGTTACCTGGAAAGCCCAGATCACTGTTGGGGTTGGGCTGGGTATTGGTCAGCAAGTGGTGAGCAATTCTATTGCGCATCACTGTTTTTTTTATTTGGAGGAGAGGGGGTTTTGTGGTTGCAGGGATTTTTCTTTATTTTTTATTTTGTTGTGGGAGTTATTGCTCTCTCTCCCCTTCCCTCTTTTTGTTGTTATTACTATATTTTACTTTTTTTCAACTTCTAAACTGTTCTTATCTCAACCCACAGGTTTTTACCTTCTTTCCCAACCCACTGGGAGGAGGTGTAAGCAAGCAGCTGCATGGTACTGAAGTCGTCTGCTGTGGTTAAACCACAACACTTACCTGTAGAGATTGTAACACATAACACAGCTTGTAGTGGAGTCCAAAATACAAAAGAATGAAGGACTCTACTTAAGACTTAACTCAGAGGCTGATCAGAGCAGCATATCTGCATATACACAGGCATATTCCTGTTGATATTTGCCACAGGATCCCTTTTTGGGCAAAGCCATTTTACAGAACAATCCTTTTCTTGATCTTTTCTGCCTCTGCAGAGTACAGGGCAGCAAATGAAACTGACAGCAGATGACTTAAACAGTTACAGTTGCTGTGTTTATGTAAGCTAAGAATTGATGTTTCATACTTGGCAGCACTTCGCCATCTTCTGACAGCATGAATACTTGACAATCCCCATTAACTTCCTTTCCCAAAACCTACCCAATCAAATGGTTTGTTTTCAAACACACTGATAATAGTTCATCTACAAGTAAGAAGCTACTTCTAATATTTACTGTTAGAAATATGAGAAAATACAACATTCTGAAGTTAATACAAAATACCTATCCTAAATGCACGCACATACAGTGGATCTGTTACTGAGAAAGCTGCTATTTACAACACAAAAATGGGGTGTGAAAGAGGCAAAAAGAGGTACAGAAAAGCTCCTATCATTTGACTGTGCTGCTGCACACTTCCACATTTCTATTAACATTACTTGCCTGCCCAGAACAGTGTTAAGACAAACTACCAATAAATTCTGAGTCAGAAGACTCAGAATTATGAAATTATAAGCTTTATGATTTTCACCAGATACAAGTTGCCACTGACTACACTCATGATCAAGAAAACCCCATTATCACTTAACCTGTTCAATAATGCAGTTTTCAAAAGAAGTTGCATGCACTCACCAACTCTGGTGGCTGCATGTCATCACAGGCATCCACATGACACTGCATCATCTTCCAGACACAACACAATAGGAGGAAAAAAGGAAAGAAATCTAAATTAAGTTCGTGTCATGTAGAATTGTACGTAAGCTGGCAAGCTAATACAGTTATGTACTGGTACAGAGAAACATTTATGCTACAACAAAGACATAAAAGTATGTGACTTAGACCACTTTCAAGACTCACTCTCTTTTAATTTGATTGTGAGGGAACTGTAAGCGGTCACACTCACTTTTTTTTTCCTTTCTGTTGTGTAAACAGATTTTTTCCCTCTAACAAAGAAGGACAGATAGCTAATGGCAGAGCAAAGCTTGAACAGGCCTGTTTTTATTCTTTTAGAACATTTTCAATTGCTATTATGTATAAAAATATTGTATTTCTGCCACTGTTAGAGGAAGCTTTTATTTCTGCCATGCATTAGATAATGAAAATTTAGTTAGACTGAAACTAGCAACTGTGATTCTTTATGCCAACAGCAGGTCAAGCAGGATGGACACTGCTTCTTCTGTTCTACCAGTTCACTTCCATACACCTCAAACAACTAGTAACTCAACTAAATCTACTGCTCCCTTATTATAATAAAAATTATGTTCTTAAGACATGATATATAGCACTTCTTTCAGATTTCCACTATTTCAACAATTAATGTTCATTTGCGCACCCTAAAACCAGCTCAACAGGCTCTCAACACACCTAACAATATTCTACTCTACATATTTGTGCTACTGACTACTATTACTAGAAGCCATAACACATTGGCTGGACAGCTTAACTTTTCCATCTAATGAAAGGAAATTAGTTCAGTCCTAACTGATGTAAAATTCTTTCATCATAATTTTCTGGGGTTTTTTTTGGTGTTTTTTTTTTTTTTTTTTTAACAGTAACCTAGGAGAGCGTAGTTTTGTTACTTTTGTTACTTTCATCCAACATCCGCATGGAAAAATAGAAGAGCTGTCATACACTCTTCTTTTACTGAGCTTTTATGTGCTTGTTAATGTTACATCTCAAACATTAATAACATTTTGTGCATTTTTCTAAAGGTATGTGCCTTTATTCAAGTGTTTCTACGTAAGGACACCTGTATGTACACATACATTTAAGTTAAAAAAAGGCCCAAGAACTGCGAAGCATTTGAAGGAACAAAAGCACATTAGAAGTCTAAAGACATAGAAGTCTGAAGAGACTGTCCACTTAACTGAAGACATTCCGATTTAACTATTAACTCAGATTTAAAAAGTTTAGTACTTTAAATTTTAGTACTTGATCAGTTAATTAAAAAAAGAGGTGAGGGGATAAAATTACTTTCCATGCTTGATTTATTTTCCACTCTTTTCCTCTGGTATCTGCATGCATTTATGTATCTGAAAGACCCCTGAGTATGAGTGTGTTAAAAAAGAAATACTGGAAATACATTCAGGTTTTTTTAATCTGTCAGAATAGCCCTTACAGTCCATAGGTATTTGATTTGGAATAGTTACACAAAGAAATATACAGCTCTGTTAACAGAGCAACAACAACAAAAAAAAAGGCATTATAAGCCAACTGAACTCTCTAAACAGCAGTGCATAATTGAATGGGCTAACAAGTATCTTCTTTGGTGGGTGACTCCTCATGGGCAAGAGGAATTAACCTGTCTTTTAAAATCAAAATGTGTTTTTCTCATCTCAGCATTTACAAGGCTGTCAATACTCCTGTATCTCTGGAATTCCAGAAAATTCACAGTTCAGCATCCAGTTTTAAAGGTCCTGGGCTACACAATCTTTCTGCCTTTAGTGAAGAAGAGAACTGGCAAAAAAAGAAAAAAAAAAAACCAACAAAACCCCAAAAAAACCAATCAATCAAAAAAAAACAAAACCAAAACAAAGCCCTCAAAAGAAACACCCAGGAAAAAAAAAACAAACCCACCACCAAAACCCCCCACCACGAAAACCAACCCCAAACAGAATCTGTACATTCAAAAACTTCAACATTTCCATGATTTTTGAAATGTTCATCTGAGAAAAGCAGCTGTTCTTGCCTTTTACTGCATCTATGCAAAATAGAATTTATTCTGGTTTAGGTGTTTTTTTTTTACTATTTCATTTTATTCTAAAATAGAATCTACGTGAAAGTGCACTTCTGCTGTCTGACAGCTACCTTTCCCATGCATTGCTTAGCTCACTTTTAGTTACTCTGGTTTCAATTTTGCTAGAGAATGGTTTCCGTAGGGAACGAATGGTGGTACAGAAGATCTTACATTTATGGCATGACATCTCCAGCTTCAGCCTCACAATCTATGTGAAGACTTCCTATGTGCTTACACAATTTGGAATACTAGGATGATGGTTAACTAAAACGAGAATTTAAATGCAGTTTTTATTGGGAAGCAGACCTCACTTTAACCAGGCTATGATACTAGGTCATAAAGACCCAAAGCCATAAGCAGCCTCTCTGCAAAAAGGAGATAAAATTGCTCCCTGGAACAAAAAAAATGAACAGAGATGACTACACTTACTTGTAGGAACTCATGTCAAGAAAGCAAATGTCAACCTGACAAAAGCCAGGCTGAACATATTTTGTATTCCAACTGGAATGGAATAAAAATAGAACACACTACTGCCCAAGAGTCAAGCCAAGGAAGACTGTGTTTAACCAGACATCTAAAGACGGGCAGGCTTACATGCTCAGTTTTATATGCTCTAGCATTGGCTTTATTAGCTGCAAATATAAGAACACAAAAACTGAGCTTTGAGAACATGTAAATATGAATAAGAAATCTTGGAGGCACACTTCTCAATTCTTCCAGTTTCTTAACATGTAAAATAGCATGGGTAACACTTTTTTGTAATACTGTGCAAACTTTTCCTTTTAATATTTATAATAAACATGTGACATTCTTACGTACTTCCAGTAAATCTTACTCCCAAGGAGGAAATATGTAAAGCCCATTTAGGTAGCCCATTTCATAGCTCTTCCATTCATTTAAAAGAAAAAATCTTGTCTCACCCGTCATCTTAAAGCAGGTGCCAAACAAAGCCAGAGGAGAAAAGAAGATTGTTACTATAGAGATTTACCTCCCAGACATATGATTTCTCTTCCCAGGAAAGAGGAATCTAGAACAACAGCAGATGACAGCTGGGAAGTCACATTTCAGAATACAACATGGAAGAATATATTTAAGCCTTTTTTAAGATCCCATATACTATAAGAGATTTTTTAGCTCTGCAAGTATTAGCATTAATATGGTTGAATGTACCAAATTTAATTTAGGATTCAACTTAGCAGTGGTCCTAGCTCTGAAACATCTGGAATTACAGTGTTTTGGTTTTTTTTTGCAGACAAATAAACCAGCAAATAGACAAGAATTGATTCAAGAGCAATCACCTTCCAGATTAACTAGAGCTCTTAATTAGATACTATTCTACAATCTGTATTACACTGCGTATAACTTGTGTTTGCAACATCAGTGTTAAGATGCTTGTATGATTCAAAAAATTTCAGGAAAGCATTGTTCCGATATGTTTTCTTAACCTGAAAAGCCTAACAATTCCCATTTCTGTCACCCTCATTAAAAAAACTAACAAATGGTCAGTGCAAGAAAACCTGCAGGATGGAGCACAGTCAAACTTTTCTCCCTGCCATCAAAAACGATACAGAAAGGAAGAAAACAGATCATGTCTCAGATACCACTTACACCCTAGACATTCCTCCAGAGAAGACCATTTGTATGGACAAAACATTTTAGTTTTATCATCAAAATCATGCATGTCCCATATTTAAGGGCATGCGTTCAGCAACAGTATCTTCAGACAGTCAGTATTCTAACTGTGCTTATGAAACAGAAAAAGGCAAATTTTAAACTCATACCATGCCATCGTAACGGTCTCCTGGTCTGCCCCTTCGGTCATAGGACATAAGATCTCTAAAATGAAAGGGAAGCAACATTACAATGCAATTCTTTTGCTTATAAACTAATCCGTTTGCTCAAATTTATACATTCGTGGTCCACGAACAACTTTATTTCAAACTACTCTAGCCAAGTACTGAACAACACAAAAGTTTCTGAACTATAGTCCGGGTAGACTACTACAGTGCAGCAAATAATAAAGTTCCAGTACTTTTCAAAATACTCCCTGGTCTAGTACACGCACAATCCTTGCATAATCACTACCAGCATGGAAGCTTCGAAAAAACATCGGAAAAATGAATGTGTTTCAGGTGACTATATACAATGTGAACTTTGTATAATGCATTTATGCAACAACTCACCCGCCACGAGGAGGGGGTGGAGGAGGAAGAGGAAGGTTACGAGCTCTGCTGCCACCTCTACCACCACGACCTGGTGGAGGTGGTGGAGGTCCTCTGCGAGGGCTCATGTCATCATAATCTCTTCTCGATGGAGGCATAGGTCGTCCACCACGACCAGGGGGCATTCGATCAAAACCTCCTCTTCCACGCATTGGAAAGCCTACTGGACGTCCCCTTCTATCATCAAACATCATTGTGAAGCCACCATAGTCATATGTCTCATCATAGAAATTGGGATCATAAGGCTGGGCCCGTCCTTTAATTGGAGACTGAAACAAACAAACAAAAAAAGCCCCCACCAGCCCAAACAGGACCATTATAATTGGCACATTTAATTAAATATATATACTAAATGAATAAATATGAATTTATTTATATTTCACAATGCTGGTTAAGAAAAAAGGAGATGGTGATGCATTTCCTGTGAACTTAACTGTGACAGAAAAACTGCTGTTACTTATCAGTGGCAAATAAAATTTGTCTCTTCAATTTTTGCATCTTAATGATATGCAAAGTATGAATAATGGTCCATTAGTACCAAAAATTGCTTCCCTCCCCCATAAGGTGCACCCCAATTCTAGAAAACATAATTTCGAAAAGTGGTAACAGTCAACCACTTTGTTACTGGGAAAGTAGGAGGTATTGAATTCAAAATATAAACTGAAAGATACCACTTTCATAGGTCCCTAACACTCATGAGTGACAATGAAAGAGTAAATTTAATAAACACTACCTCAGAGATAAGATCCAAGATAATCTTGATACATTCAACGACTCTGTCAGGTTTTCCACCAATAAGCACCACCCTGTCAGTAGAATGAGGACAACACTCTTGGAAGAGCTTAATGGTGGTCTGGGTGTTCTGTTGAAGAAAAAAATAAAATAAAATCCAAGATTGTCTAGCCTAAGTATTTGAACAATTTATAAACCCATTTAAACATTTTTAAAGAAAGGATCCTAAAGATTATTAAATTCCTAGCCTGCATGCCTGCTTCTGAACTCTTGCAACAAATTTTTTTCTTTTTTTAAGAGATCTGTACTGACAGTTTTATATGAAAATGTAAAACTTTCTCCTCTTTCAATTATGACTCATTTATACCATTGTTTGATTAAATACAGCAAAATAACCACATATCCTGTAATAGCTTACAGGCTGTATTAACCTCCGCATGTCAAGAAAACATACTCTGGATGAAAACCAGTGATGCTGCTGGCATTATGTCCAGTTATATTGCTTTTCTCAACCCACGCAAACAGGTATCAGCTTATACCTGAACTGACCTGAAACTGCCTCTGACACAATGCCAAAGAAGGACAAAAAGCTTAGTTAGTTAAGTTCACAGAGACCATTAGGTATTTTAGATCTCATTCCTATCCTTAGAAGAAAACAGTGGTCTTCCGGGAGGTAGAATTTTTTTAAAATTGTAAAGCCTTTTTACAGTAATATTCAGGCACCTACTGAATTGTCATTGTAAGGCTTTGTAGTGTATATTCACTTTAATTAATTTTGTAAGTCCAACCACATGAATATGTATACAGTCTATGCAGTTCATTTTAGAAGGAATGATGAATACCATTTTAAGAAAAAAAACCCTCAAACAAAAAAAAACCCCAAAACTTTCTTTAAAAACATTACCACAAATATTGCTTAGAAGCTTGACAAGTCCAAAGCTCTATCACTAACAACTTTATTTCTGAGGGTTTATAAGGAAGTTGCCATTCTCAGATCCACCTCAGGAGTATCAAAATCATGTATGCAGTATGTTCTGGATGAATTACTGCACAGGAGATACACCTGTCCCTTATAAACACAAAACACTAAGCTGTTTACTGAACAAAACTCAAACCTCAGAAGAACAGGGAAGAAGTACCTCTCTGAGTTCTTTAATTTTAGCACCCTTGACACCAATAATTCCTCCTGCCAAACTTTGGTGAATGAGAAGTCTCAATTCGCAGTCAAAGTCGCTGCCTTTGTAGTGTTGATACTGTAAGAAAGATGTATACAAGGAAAATAATATTAGTCACATAAAAAATTAAAATATTTGGATTTTTTCCAAATGGTATGACTTGATTATTGCCAAATTGTAATTGTGTACTTCCTTTGACAGCACCACAACTATTTAAGCGCCTCACCTGAACATAAGCTGATGTTGAATCTGTTTTCCTTACTACATTGCACAACTTGTAGAAAGGTTTAAGAAGGTATCAAACAGTGCAACACTCATTTACAAAGCCAACACAGAATACAAATTACAGTATAACTACTTCAAAGTCGGGACAAAACAATTCAGAAAGCATGTATTTTGAAAGGGGAGAAGCTGTATGAAATGATAAATTATTAAATAGTGATTGTCCTCTATCAAAAAATGCCAACATGTACTTTGAAAGCCATAACCCTTCTTTAAAAGGCTTTTCCGTTTTATTTTTTAACTTCCTGTATTTAAGGAGTGGCAAATCTAGGACCATCTTGTTTCATATGCTCATCTTTTACCTCTAAAAAGAAACAAACATTGTCACATACCTCTTCCAAAGTAGGGATAATCTTCTTCAAGATTTCTCCAATTGTCTCTATATCTGCACTGATACTCAAGATGCTGTTGTTGGAGAACATAACGCCAGACAAAATGGAGAAATTGGAAAAGAAAAAGTAAATCCTTTTCCTCATCATACATGAAATTCTAAGAAGATTTACTACACAGAAGAGCTCACAATTAATAGTCCCCATTTAAAGTAAACCTGTTTGCTCAATTTACAACACATGCATCTTTGTTTATGCCCAGTATATATGCATGTTAAATTTAAGATTAGGTAGCTCTTGCAGAGAGAGAGAGAAAGACAGAATGGGCTTTTGGAAGGGCTCAGATTAAGTGGGCAAGAAATTGACGCAGAACTGAAAGGTGAAGTGAATATTCATGTTCCCCGCCACCACTAATTTAGGATATCCTCGCTATTACATTGGTAAAACTGGCACACCTTCTCATGTAAAAAGTGGGATATGCAAGTGGTGAACATTGTATCTGGAGTAAGGTTATGAAACCAGTTAGAAATCAGATTACTAATGGGCTCTCCAAGAAAAACAAATACAAATGCAAGACAAAAAGAAGACAAAACAAATGAGAAGCGAAGAAAAGTGAACCGGAGTTAGCATTTCATCCGAAATAATTATGAACAGGCAATGTTGAAGGGAGCAAGGTGGGCCACAAAGACAGAGCGAGAGACTATTTTGGAACAATTTGATTTACAATGCAGCAAATATGCAACACTTGAAGCTGTGCTCCTTCCATTGAAATAAAATTAGTGGATTGTTTGGGTGGGCAACTCACGTAAAAGTTCAGTGACAAAAAGACTTAATGGGGAAAATAAGACAGAAAACTTGAAAAAAAACAATACACCGTCTATAAGGGGATACTATTTAATTATATCAAAGGCAGGTAATATAATACATTTCTCTCTTTCTAATCAGGCAGTGAGGCATAAACTGTTGGGACATACCGCTCGGGGCCACTGCTGTCTGGGACTGAAACACTGGCATTGTACTGCATTGGTCATTGGCGTTCGTGGATGTTGGCATTGGGCATGGGCATTCAATCAGAAGTTGTCAAGTATGGTACCCGTTTGGCAACGAGCACATTTTTGGGCATAGCCAACCAGGGTTTCACATGGGCGTTCAGGGGCGGATGGGCCAACGTCATGGTGGGCAACGCAGGGGCAAGTCGATCCAGTACATGGGCAACGGAGATATATGGCCAAAAAAACAAGGAGAGGGAAGAGGGGGAAAAGCAATGAATTTTAATTTAATACAAACTATACTCATTACTCTCAATTAATGAAACAAGCTTAAGTTGTTCTGAAGACTAACACCATAATGGATTGCTACACCAACTGTGGCTTAACAGTATGGACCTTAAAAATGAGTCACTTGATCTGACTAAACTACTTTAAAATGTATGATGTTTCAGTAGCAGGCTGGCTCATGAGGGTAGACACAAAACCTGTCAAGATCCATATTACTAGAACCTTGGGCAAATCGGGAAAGGTAGTTTTCCAGACCAATCTAGATTATCTGGACTTAGGTGATGTACTGATTCAAAAAAAAAAAAAAAACTGAAAAAAAAAAGAAAAAAAAAAAAAAAAGAAACAACCCACGGAAAAAGGAGGACCCTAAAAACCAAAAAATCAACTAGCTGCCGAAGTTAGTGAGCATATGTACAATTCCTGACCATTTCAACTTAAATCCGTTTGCGGTAGTTTATGAACTTAGCTGGAACTGATTTGTATTGATACATATTGCCAAATCTTGTGTTGAACAGAGTCTTGATCGGGAAAACTGCTGAAATTGTAGCTGAGGTTAAGTACAGGAGTGTAAACAAACGGAATTTAAGAAGCGCTGCCAAGTTTTATAAATAATACACAACATTAATGCTGAGCATGTGTCTAATCACAAGAGTCAACCCACTCTAAAATGTGAATAGGCAAATAAGTTATGACCATGTAAAAGTGCTTCCAAGTAACAACAGAATGCTCCTTTACTGTCCTACATTTAAATTAAGCAACTTTAATATTTTGATGCTTCATGTGCAAGTTCTTAAAGAACAGATGGACAATTCTGTCTGTTTGCTTTTTTAAAGGAAGTTAAAAGAGTTTCTCTATCACTGGGTTAAGCCAGCCACCTGCAATGGTTTCAGTAGTACTGTAACTGATTCACATGTATGGGAAATGGCACAATTAAGGGTTTTAAGCTTTGTCAATATTTCTAATTAGGATGTTAGTGCACTTGAAGAGTGAAATTTAGCAGAATCATATTCAAAAGTGAAGAGATTTAAAATAATCCTCTTCTCTCACATGAGTTGAGCTGGGTTTTAATTACAACAAGAACTGGGGAATTAAGTTATCTACTCTAGCAATTAATACAAATGGCTTGTAACTAGGCTATTGATGCCTAGAGTTGAGTTGCTCCCACTTCTAGAAAATCTTTTGATGTAGTGCTCTGAAAGAATTGGTGTTAAATTAGTTTAAACTCATAGATACTCACGTCTGTACGAAGTGCCTTAATATTTTTGCCACCTTTTCCAATCACTGCTCCAGCATTCTGGAAAATAGTTTTCAGAAGTTAAGTTACGCCAACCCACCACAGAATACGTTTTTTAACTCAAGACTAAAAATGCGAAATCTATCTTAGCATTACCCTGCTGGCTTGGGGACTGGGGGCAGGCAGGCACTGCTTTAGAAAGTTTCAAATCAAACTGAAACAAACTGATACAGTTTGTCCATGGAAAAAAATGGACCTGAACTAAGGAAAGGGAAGAATATTCAGTTTTGCAAGTAATGATTCAATTCCATATAGAAGTTTTTAGGCAATTCTTCCTAGAATCTCATACACGATAGCTCTCAAAGATACACGGTATGAATGTAACATCGTCAACAATTTCCCTAACTCATCTGATCAGCTTTTCCCCCTGTTGTTTTCTTTTTAAAGGAATGTATTTGCAAATTCCACTTCTGCATTCCAAGTATTTCTTGATAATTTCAAGTGCTAACTTTGGTTTATACCTCTGTAACTTAACTGACTTCTTAGAGCAGTATATTCTGAAAAAAATTAATGCCACTAACTTCCAAGCTTCTAACACCAACAGGAATAAACTGGCAGATAGCAAAAGTAACTGCAAAGCTGTATTTTTACCATCTTATTTGAAAGATTACAGGCAAAAGCACTGCTTTTATTACACAGATCACACATGTTAACAGCATACAAAACACTTTGTGATACCCAGGTAACTTGACTGTCAGACAGAAATGCAACACAGGGTTAAGGTAACATTCTCCATGCTAGTGCAAAAGACTTGAAATACTTAAGGAAGTACAAGACATGTGTAATAACTAGAAACACCTAGGGAAAGTCGTATGTATCAACTTTACTGTAACTGACTACTCTTGTCAACAAACCCACTGGAATCCCTGAAGTATTACTCCCATCTTTACTCCTGTCTATATATATGAACAAGTTTAGCAGATGTGCCTGGAAGAGTTACTAATAAGAAAGTTCTCATTTTACCTCTTGTATTTAACTTCCAATTACTAGCTGATCATTTTCTAAACTGCTTCCTTTCCGAAGATTAACATAGTCATTCCCTTCAAAATAACTATCTTCCACTCAAATATAAGAATTTCTATTTCTAATTTCTATTGCTCTATTTTATTTTCCCCCAACAAGTACATCTGTTAAAAATAACAGTACTGAGCCTTAGGATCTTACCTTTCAAGGAACCTCTGAAGGTAATTCCATGACAATACAATTTTTACTACCACTCATGCACATTTGACGATATTAATGGCAAGTTACTGCATATTAAATAAAATACATCAATAATAAACATATACCCCAACATACACCATCACAGTCTTGAGCAGTGCTATAAACAAAAATCAGTAAAATCAAAAAAGCATACTTTGCTCTGAAGCAAGATGCGCAATTCAACCATCTCATCTGTGTTCCGAGATCTCTTGAAGGCCTGCTCTTCCTCCATATCTTCTGCAGGACGTTTGCCTATAGAGAGATCCATAGGGGGGAAATACAAACATTTATTTAACTTTCTAAGTCATATGAAGTAGAACACATGCTAAATTCATGCTCTGTATTCTTAACACATTCTTCCCTATTAGCCCAATTAATTACTGATGCCTCTGAGCAGCCAAGGACAGAAACAGGTCTTCATTGGCTTACATATTGATTAACTGTTAAAAATCCATTTAAAATCTATGAACCATGTTTTAAATGAGAATGTTGCATGCAACAAGAGAGAAATTTATGACATGCTGTTTAAAGCATGTCATGCAGCATCACCCACTTAGTATCTATTTATAATTTACAACTGGGAAAAACATTTCAGGTAAAAAGCTCAAATGCACTTTGTCCAACACTGAAATACTGGGGAATAACAGTGAAGTGGCACTTCAAATACTGTCTGGAAAAAAACTGGCATGAATCAACAACACTGAGACCCTAGCTTCCTCCCTAATTATGCCCAGTAAGCTTTCCATGAAGCTCTTTAGAGGTATTTCACGTATTTATACTCCTGCATGTAAAAACTCCAATAAACAAAATACAATTAATGGATATGCATGATGGTATTCTTACGTTTATACTCGCCACACAGGTACTGAATACTTAGCTATGAAATATTTTCCAATCCTCAGACATCATTGTGGTTTAAGCCCAGCCAGTAACTCAGAACTATGCAGCTGCTAGCTTACTCTCCCCCCCCCTTTCCTCCCCCAGCTCCTGGAGGGATGGGGACAAGAATCAAAAGAATGTAACTCCCAGGGGTTGAGATAGGAACAGTCCAGTAATTAAGGTATAACACAAACCACTACTGCTACCACCAATAATAATAATGATAAGGGAAATAACAAGGGAAAAGAATACAACCCCTCACCACTCACTGACCTGAGCAGCTATCTGAACCTTTCAAGTAACTCCCCTCAGTTCATATACTGGGCATAACGTGTTGTGGTATGGAATACCCCTTTGGCTAGTTTGGGTCAGGTGTCCTGTCTCTGCTTTCTCCCAGCCTCCCCTCCTCCCTCCTGGCAGAGCATGAGACTGAGAAAGTCCTTGGTTGGAGTAAACATCAGTTAGCAACAACTAAAAACACCATGTTATCAGCACTGCCCCCAGGCTGAAAGTGAAAATTACAGCACTGCACAAGCTAAGAAGGAGGAAAATGACTGCTATAGCTGAACCCAGGACACTCATAACTTGCAATTATTTATCCCATGCCTAAAACATGGGATAAATAAGAAAGATTGTGTTCATGCTTCAAAAGCGTGTGCAAAGATATTGTCTACTTAAAAAAGATTTAACACAGAATGCAAAGCTACTGCTGATACAAACATCTAATATAGTTAAGGCATTACTAAATATTTAGAAATACTGAAACTTACAGAGGATCTTCCTAAGAAAAAATAGTCCTTTAAAAAACTTACCATTTGTCTCTGTGTTAGTAAAGGTCTCTTCCTGTTGCTCAGTCTCCATTGCCTTTCTTTCTTAGGTTGGCAAGCAAAATCTGTTGAAGAGCAGAAAAGCAAGAACATCTCTTTCATGAAAGGGCAAACTGTACATTGTTCTAAAAGGAAAAGACAGAAAGAAATGCCTGGTTTCACAACTTACCGCTGTTATATATCCTTGCTGACAAAAACTCAAGTGTTCTGGGAGGGATCAAAATCCAACAGACTTGCTTCAAGAGCCTATGAAAACAGCACATTATCAGTTGTGACTCTGCCCACTTACAGCTTTAATTCTCACTACAGCCAAAACCAGAGGTTTGACTCAAGCCTCTCCTGCAAAGCTTTTCTCTATGAAAGAGAAAGCACACCCTGGAAAAACACACAACTTTAAGGAGACAGAAAACAAGTATGTAAGCTTACATGTAAAAAATCAATGTCTGAATTATAGTTTTTGGGCACACACTAACTGCATTTACTAAAAATTGTTTTCATATATTTAAAGTGAACATGCATCCAGCTCCTCTCTTCAACATGTCAGATAACACATGCATTGAGTTTACTTTTTAAAGGACACTATGTAACAATTAGGCCCTAGATCCTTAGATTTAAACTTAAAAAAAAAAGGAAAAAAAAAGGAAAAAAAAAAGCCCGTGAACTTCACTATGACTTTCCAAAATAGGCATCTTATTTATGACCTGCTTTTTGTTATCTTGTAATATGAGGAAGTCACATTAGAAAGAAATCTAGACAAAAGAAATACTTTTGCAATTATGTATTTCCCTTTTGTATTTTATCAATTTTTTTGCCCCAACAAATTACAGCCACTCATTCTGATGGCAACCATAAAGAAAAAAGGAAAAAAAGACAAAAAAAAAAAAAAAAAAAGGTGCTTCAAACTTTTTAAACATACCCTCAGGCAACTGTTCATTTGTAACTGTTGCCCGCTTGTGCAGGCTAACAGCTGGCACTGCCTTCCCTGGACATGCTAGTCCTTCCAGGCACTTGAAGTGAGCCATCAGACACTCACGATTTACTGACAGCGAATGCTCAGGCAGACGTTTGCCAAAACGCTGCTATGTGGGGTGAGAGCAGGGAGAAACTGGGCAGATTTTTAGACGGTTTAAACGGCCCTTTAGGACCCCTGTTGTTTTACTTCCAAACATTCCCAAGAACTTTTAAGGCTGCAGGGAGTGAACCGTAATGTACTGTTCAGGGCTTAGTCTCCCCTACTCGCGCGTTTACCTGCTATGCCGAACCTTCCCTGGCCGCCTGTAGATAGTGTTCTCCGCTACCGCGCGAGATCACCTTGACTAATGCTATTTAAAAACAGCTAAAGGGTAAAGCGGCAACGGAAGGCGGGAGGCAGCACTAGCTGCCACAGACATAACACACGGCGCTGGGAAAAGCCGCCGGTTCGGCTCGGCTCCCCGCTTAGGGCGATCCGGCCAGCGGCTGGCGGGGCAAACAGCGGCGTTACGTAACCCCCGCCGCCTCGGCATCACGGACCAGCAGAAATGGCGGTCGCTGTAATGGCGGCTGCCGGCTGCTAGGCGGAGCCGGGAGCGGAAAAGCCGCCTCCACCACGCGGTCGCAGACAAATTTATCCCCCCGCTACCCAAAGAGGACACAAAGGAGGCGCCCGGCGGCCGCGGCGCAAGCGGCCTCGGGGCAGAGCCCCGAGGCCACAGCCCCCGAAAGCGACGGGCCGCGACGCGGGGCGAAGCCCAGTCGGCACCCCACAGCTGCCCCCGCCCAGGCCGCGGCCCTGAGCGCCCTCCTCTCCACCCGCCATAATTCCCTACAACTCGCCCCAGGCGCAGTTACCAAGGGCGAGCGCAGGAAGGCGGCGGCAGCCGCTCCCCCGCACTCAGAAAGCACCCGCTACCGCTGCCGGCCTCCACCACACCGCCCGTCTTGTGAGCCATACTGACTGGGTCGCAAGGCCCAGGGCCGCTCGTACAACAGCGGCCACCCTCCCCGTCTGTCACGCTGGGCGGGGCGGCCCCCCCAGCTGCTCTCGGCCGCCTCAGGAGTCACCCCCAGCGCCAGTCGAGGCGGCGACTCCACACTTTCTCCATACAGCGCTCACCCCACTCCACCGCCGTGCCTGTGGGAGCCCACAAAGCAGAGGCTCCAAAACCGGGGAGGCACGGGCCTCCCGCATCGCCGCGTCACGCAGCTGCGCCGACAGAGGCACGGAGGCGGCTCTGCGGCCCCACCAAGGCTCGGCCCGGCCTATGTCCGCCCCCCGCCACCCTGCGCGCGGGCAGCGCCCCCTCCTCGCTGGCCCCGGCTACACCTCTCCGTGGGTGCGCGTACCTGCACCCGCCGCTGGCCCCACGGCGCACGGGAGAGAAAGCAGAGCTGCCCCCACCGCCAACGCGCACCTCCGACACTGCCAGCACGCAATTGGCCCCGCCGCTTTCCCCCTGCGCGGGGCCAGCGCCGTCCCACTGGGTAAAGCCGCTGCCCGTCAGGGCGCGGGAGGCGGCTACACCCACTGCGCCCCGCCCTCCGTGAAGGTTAGGACCAGAAGGGCCCAGCCGCCTGGAAGAGGGGAGCACCATGTGCGCTGTTGCCGGTTGGTCGTTTTACCTACCGCGGTGGGAGCCGCGATGGAAGCGGTGCAGGGGAGCGGCAAAGGAGAGCGGCAAAGGAGAGCGAGAGCGACCTCGGTCGTGAGAAGAGAAAATGGCGCCTGCGAAAACCCCGCCTTGTGCTCGCTACCGGGCGCCGGCGGTTGAGGGAGGGAGGGAAGGAGGGAGGAAAGGAAAGGGCGGGGGGGGAAGGGGGCGGGGGAGGGAAACGATGGCGAAATATCCTCTCGCGATGATTGAAAGCGCGCGCGACGGATGTCTTCTATTGGTTGCTGGGTAGAGCGGCGGTTTTGGGAAGCTGCGCTCGGGGGAGGGTTGCGCCCGTCACCTCCCTTCCCATCCCCTAGTCCCCGACGGTAGGGGGAGCCGTGGCTGCCCCCCCCCCCCCCCCCGCCCGGTCCTGCCCGCTCACCCCGGTAAGTGCGGGCGGCTCAGCTGCTGGTGGGGGAAGGGGTTCGATCTCTCTGAGGGGCTGCGGGGTGCGACACCCGCCTCCCCTTCCCCGCGCCTGGCCTTCCTACCTCCTTCCCTCCCCGGCAGGGCCCAGGCCCGTGAAGCGCCACGCGAGTGGCAGGCCGGCGCTTTACTTTGTGTAGGTACAGTGTCCTCTAAGTGGTGGAGCTTTAGGGGAAGCTTAGAGCCACAGTGGTTTTAATTTGCTGTAGGTTAGAGTGCAAAAAAATCCCATCTAAACCTAGCGTTTCCTAATTATTCTTAGGGTAACTTTTGTTTTTGTCACGCTCTGTAGGGAGGTTGAGCTCCTCAGCTGTCTTTCAAGTGGTTAAGCGTAATCCAAACGCAGTTAAGCAGCCTAATACCTTTTCAATGTTTGTATCAATGATCTGTATGCACGAGGTTAATGCACCATTAGCAAGTTTGCTGATGGTACCAAACCGGGAGCTGCTGTTGAGTCTTTCAAGGGACAAGAGGCCTTGCAGAGAGACATAAATAGATTGGAGCACTGTGCAATCGTCAGTGCCATGAAATTTAAAAAGTTCAACTGTTAGATTCTGCACCTGGAGTGGAATAACACTGGCCACAAGTATAGACTGGGAGAGGAGTGCCTATAGAGCTGCCTTGCAGAAAGGGACCTGGGAGTGCTGGCTGACAGCAAGACCTGCAGTGTGAGTCAGCCATGTGCCCTGGCAGCCAGGAGGGCAGACCCATCCTGGGGTGCATCAAACACAGCATCACCAGCCGGTCAAAAGAGGTGATTATCTGCTATACTCAGCATTGGTGCAACCTCATCTCGAGCGCTGTGTGTAGTGCTGGGCCACACAGCTTAAGAAGGATGTGAAAGTCCCTGACTGTGTCCAGAGAAGGCAACAAAGCTGGTGACAGGTCTGGAAACCGTGTTCTGTCAGGAGCAGCTGAGGGCTCTGGGTTTGGCTGGGTTAGAGAGAAGGAGGCTGAGTGGTGACCTCATGGCTCTCTGCAGCTTCCAGAGGAGGGGATGTGCAGATGGAGCTGCTGATGTATTCTCTTTGGGATCCAGTGAAAGTATGTGAGGCAATAGTTCAAAGTTGTGGCAGAGGAAGTTCGGATGGGACATTAGGAAGCATTTCTTTACTGAGAGAGTGGTCGAACACTGGAGTAGGCTTTCTAGAGAGGTCGTCAATGCTTCAGGCCTCTCAGTGTCTAAGAGGCATTTGACCAATGCCCTTAATAACTTTTGGTCAGCTCTGGAGTGGTCAGACAGTTGGACTGGATGATCATTGTTGGGCCCTTCCAACTGAAACAGTCTATTCTATATGTGCATTGCTTCTTCCTAAAGTAGAAAGAAGGTAAAGCTTGTTAGCCACTGATATTTCTGAGATGATGATTACCAAGGGTTGATGCTGTTGTATCTAAACCGTGGACTGGTTCTCTAGGTAATTAGTGATGTTTCAAGCTAGCTTTCTATTGTCGGGTACAAAGCTTTTATGCAGTTACAGCTGAAAAGTCACCCCTGTGATACAGTGCTCACAGATGCCAGCTTGCTTCTGTTGTACATGGGGTTTCTTCTGTTTATAACAGTGCAATGATATGGCAGAATTAACCCCTCAGGTCAATTTCTTAAGTAAACTTGAGTGTTAACAGCAGAACCCACAGAAATAAAGAAATAGAGGACATATATGTAACAAACTACTGCTTGAGGGATTATTTTGTGTTTTGGAGTTTTTTGTGGTTGGGGTGGATTTTTTTTATTAATTTGCTTTCTATAACAAAAGGATTTCAGTGTTATATTTCTAATTAAATCAAGAAGTCACGAAGCAGGGTTGATCATAGAAGTCTCCATACTTCCTTAATACCCCATGATGTGGGAACTGCATACACATACTTCTTATGCTTTAAATATGAGAAATGCACGCTTATTTTTAGTGTCCATATAAGTGTTGTTAATTTAAATTGCTTCTTTGTTGTCACACTTAGGATAGCAGAACTTTGAGAGCAAATTTCTATATAGTATGAGCAAGAGACTTGGTATAACTTCAGCTGTAAATTTATCTTTTTTGGGTTCTGTTTTAGGGAATTCACACTATTAAAAGAAAATGTCCGCAGCCAATATTGCAGCAAGAGTGGAAAGTTGGCTTTTATCCAAATGGCATGTTAAAGTTCCTTTGACATGGCTGGAAGCATGTATTACTTGGATCCAGGAAGAAAATAATGGTAATAACTTAAATCAAGCTCAGATTAACAGTCAGGTATTTGAGCAGTGGCTTCTTACTGATCTAAGAGACTTGGAATATCCCATTTTGCCTGACTGCATCTTAGATGCTCCCAAAGGAGAGTTGTCAGGCTTCTACTCCATACAGATTGATTCACTGGTTGATGTTAGCCAGCCAGCATATTCCCAATTGCAGAAGCTAAGAGGAAAAAATACTGTAAATGAAGAAGTAACAGCCAGTACTCAAGCATTCCAGAAGCCCTGGGAAGCAAAGCCAACTCGAATGCTAATGCTACAACTAACTGATGGGATACACCAAATTCAGGGCATGGAGTATCAGCCAGTGCCTGCCCTCCACAGTAATCTTCCTCCTGGAACAAAAATCACTGTACAGGGTAATACTGCATATCGCCTTGGAGTCCTTCTGCTTAAGCCAGAAAATGTGAAACTGTTGGGAGGTGAAGTGGATGCTCTTCTGGAGGAGTATTCTCAGGAAAGAGTCCTTGCTAGATTAATTGGAGAAACTGAAAACCCTTATTCTGTCCAACAAGCTGACCATGACCACATTGTTCCAAGGCCTGTGAATGATGTGGAACAAAGTCTAGGTCCTTCAGATGAAGAGCTTTTAGCTAGTCTTGATGAAAATAATGAATTTGCTTTAAACAATGAAGCATCTTTAGAAAGCAGATGCTACAGTAGAAGCAACAATTTTAGTACAGCCCCAGGTTCACTGACTGCACCCAATGGGAATGTAGCGCCGCAGGAATCTGGAAGTCCTTTGCCTGATTCAGATGATCAAGTTTCACTTCCCATAGAATATGCCGATGGCTTTTTAAATGACTTTCCTTCAGAAAATGACTTTTTTCTGGAAGAAGAGACGCAAAGAGAGCTGGAAGAAGTGCCACCAGTGGTCATAAACAGAAATGTAAGTGTGATTACTGAGACACTTCTACATACATCTAGAAGGTCCTGCAATTCATCTTTAAATGGCATTTGCAAAAAAGATGATGTGAGTGGAAGAGATAAGGCAGTAGAAGCTCTCAGCAAGCAAAAGACTTTTGGAAGAACAGTATTTGATGGTGATGGAAATAGTACAAGCAGCTTTTTGCAGTGCAAAAGCAGGTGTCAGACCTGCAGTTCTGCAGACTTTAATTTGGAAGATCCTCCTGGAGAAAGGCAGAATAATACAGACCTAGATGGCAGCAGATGTAAATCCCAGCACACTTCTGACAGCAGGCTGTTAAGTGATGATCCTGTATTTTTCTCAAAAACGAATCCAGAAGCAGATCAGCAGAAGCATGATTCACAGACCGTTCCTTGCAGAGCAGTAGAGGCTCATTTAGATTTATATTCTCTACCTTTCACATATATTTCTATTCTACTTGCAAAAAGACCAGAAACTATTACAGTGCTGAAAGTTAAATGTTTTATTGTTACTCTCACTGGAAGCCTCACAAGCACCAGTGGGTCCTGGGGTATAAAGGCAAAAATTTCTGATGGTTCAGCTTATCTTGAAGTAGATTTTGCTAATGATATTCTAACAAGTTTGATTGGCTTTTCGGTGTCTGAAATGAATAATTTGAGAAAGGATCCAGCTTTACATCTAAAGCTTAAGGATGGTTTAGAGAAATGTCAAAAACAACTGATAGATCTCTGTTGTTTGATGACTATAGAGTTTAATCCACTTCAGTCTAAAGCCACTGTGTTAATTCTTCAGGATGCTGATGCAAGGCACCTAGAACAATTGAAGAAACGTTTGAATAAATAACATGCAAACTTGCAGGCCTATATTACAATACATTTAAGTCAGATTTCCCCTGAAGGACTCTTGAAAGTTAAAATTGAAAATTCAGTGGTATGTCTCTTCTCTTACCAGGAAAAATAAGGGAAAGTCAGAAGAGGAGATGACTTGTTTGAGCAAAACTTAGCAGTTTGTTTCTTATGGTGGTAATGAAATAAGCTTTCAAATATTCCTGTTTTAAGTACAGGTGTATAATTTTCATTGTGCAGAATTCTCTGTGTCATTGACTGGTGATCTGGAGTAGCAGAATTTGAGTAGAAGACTCTCATACATATTCACTGTGCAAGAAGCTGAAGTGTGGAGAAGTAGATTTTTTTTTTCTGAAAGTTCAGATGAGCTGGAAAAAGAAAACCCAGCCCTATATATTAATGAGATTAATGTGTATTTTAAAAAACTGGAATAAAAAAAACAAACATTTTAAAATCTTTTAAATAAATGTATGATTATAATGTATGGAGAGTCTCTTTTTTTGACGTGTTAATGTTGATCATTGCTAACAGTTTTGAACCCACATGCCACTTTATTCATAATTTTCTAACCTTTTACAGAGTTGTCATGCACTTGTGCTACAGACCTGTTGTATATGTATATTTAATGTTGGTCTTAATTTTGATATTTATTTCTACTTTTGAACAAATACATTGCAGTTTTCATTTAGATTTTGGTGGAAACTTCTTAGTTACTGTAAAAGAAAAGTATAAACCTTGTTGAGTGTGTAAAGTATCAGAAATGGTTTGATTGCTTGTTTGTTTCTGTTGTTGTTCCTTCCTCCCATCCTTTTCCCTTTTTTGTTCTGTTTACTTGTTTGTTTGAGTTTTTATTTTCCCCTTTGAAATGAGAAGAATTAAAATTCTGGCAGGGGCAGAGGACCATAGACAAAAGTGTGCAGTGTTTGCAAAGACTCTAAAATTGGTACCCAGGAAAGGGATTTTTCTATTGGACAATCACTGTCTTTTTTTCAGAGCCTTTTCTTTCTCTGAGCAATGTCTGTTAGGCCATTGGGAATTGCTGTGAGAGATTGTCAGTATTGCCTTGCTGCCCTGTCCCCAGTTGAGAAGCACCCTTTGAGACTGCAAGTGACCTAAGGAGTCACTAGAGGTAATTTGCTAAGTAAGGGGAAAATGGAAGAAGGTGGAGGAGGGGAACCTTGAGCTTTTTCAGGCTCAAGGCATAAATTTTAGAAATGCATGTCCCTTTCCTCCCTGTCCTGTCCTTGCCTTCTCCACTCTGCAGAGAACCTGAGCAAACCATAACCCTGTAAGTTATATCTTGGTTTATTTTCTAAGTCTGTTGGGAACTGTGCATCATTTAGAACTGTACGAGCAAAAGCTTTTCTGTGTGTGGAACCTGTATCAATGGATGTTTAGTTATAGTTTCACAAAGAATTGCTTGCTAATAGGAAACTGATGAAGCTTCATCTCATAATCCCTGTAAAAGTTAATACAGCTGACTGTAAACCTTATTGGAGTTTTATGGAAACATTTCTTTTATGATGAGTTAAGGAAACTTCCTTTGAAGTTTTGGTCTTTCCATGTAAAAGGATAGGAGTCATTAAATTCCAAGCAAATGAATAATCCACATATTTTATTCTATTTGTGCAAAACAAGAGGAATGTCATTCAAAGTACAAAGTCAAATTTTAAGTGTTGTCTTTGTTTCAGTTGATGAAGTTACACCTGCCCCTCTTTTTCTGCATTTATGTTAAGGCTTAATTATCTCTGCTAAAATGTTAATGTGTCTTCCATTCTTTTTGCCCCTAGCATCTTAAAGGCACTGTTATTTATCTGACTTTTCGTTCTCTCCCCCTCTGCCTGTTGCCTGTGTCTTCATTACCAGGATGTTCTTGGCAGGCTGGCTACTCGTGTACCTGTACTCCAGCGCGAGCAAGAAGGTAGATCTCAGTGCTGCTAGCTATTTAGAGCTTGACTGCTCTGCATTTATTTCAGTATGATTTTCTGATGTGTAATAATTCTAGATCTGTGTTTAAGCTTTTAGAATTACTGAAAATGATGGCATGTTTTTTTTCAGACAAGGAATGAAATAAAGTGACTTTGAGAAAGGATGTTTAGTTAAGACCAGTATGCCTAACAGAAAATAGCCTAGGTGGCTGTGTGTACCAGTCAGTGGTTCATGCCTTATCCACTAAGGCTCTTGGAATCAACTTCCCTGTTACCAGTCTTAACACTTTTGTGCTGTATGTATTGTGTGTGTGTGCTGCCTCAACATGCCAAGTAGCAGTGTATGTCATAGCCTTTCAACTAACCAGCGTTCTTGCAGGCTGAATTCAGAGAGCAGGTTGTAACCCCAACTGACCATTGTGATAATCTAGTGCAGAGGTACAGGCACACTTCTGCTAGGGAGTGCAACAGAATTCCTGTACCAGCTCTTACAGGGGATTTTTCATGGCAGCTCCTCATGAGTAACATATAACCTAGCAGAAAGCAGTTCCTGATCGTTCTGTCATCTCTGCTATTCTACAGACTCTTCTTAATGTTTCAGCTGCTAAGTAGGCTTGTGCACCTGGAGTGTATCTATCTGTCCCTGTGCAGTTTCAGAACCTGTATTAAGGAATATTTTCATATTAATGAGAAAAACTGGTTTGGGTTGTTCTGTTGGTTTGGTTTGGTTTGGTTTTTTTCCCCCCTCATTCTCATCACAGTGGAAACTTCCAAATAATTTGAATGTATGAAACCTGCAATGTTCTCACATAATGACTTGGATATTATGTTAATGATGAAAGTTTGCTCTTCCTGCCTTTCTTAGAGTTATTAAAGAAAATGAAAGCAATAGATTTGCTCTTCCTGCCTTTCTTAGAGTTATTAAAGGAAATGAAAGCAGTAAATTTGCTATGGCAGTGCCAGGTAGCTGATCAGAATGTCCCAGTTAAAAGCTTTGTCACTAAGGTGAGGTAGCAGAAAAAAGAAAGTTCTCAGAAACTTCACTGAGCCCTACTTTTAAAGGTATTCACACTCAAACTGGAGAACAGGGCAGTGGCTAGAATGAAGAATGTGGCAGGTTTCCAAATAAACTAGGCTGGCAAGAGCAGCCTGAGGACTAGCCTAATCCTACTGCATACTAGGTTGGCCACAACAAAGCATGTCATTATAACCCAGCAGCTTCGTTGTTGAATGAAGGCAGTGTCCTAAAGAAGCAACAGCTAGTTGAGATGATGTAATTTTAAGTATCAGGAATGTTCAGGGATTTCTTAAAGGGCATGCTGTACTGCTCCAGTACTGTGACTTCACACTGAAAGAATTACATATTTCAGGTCATATTGGTAGGAGAAATTTTCACAGGTGAGTATGGAATGTGATTAGATGGAATAGTAAACATAACATTTGGTTCTAAATACAAAGCCTATTTCTCAGTGTCTTGCTGTAATAATATCAAGCATTTCTGTTTAGAATCATAAGGTATTAACCTTTTGTTACAGGGAGGGAAGAATGCTTTACAGAATATAGTATAATAGCTCTGGGTTATCTGGGTGGCAAGCAAATGTAAATATTGGGAGGAAGGAGCAAAAGGGACTTTCAAACATAATTAGTGTTTCTCATTTCAGTTCCAGTTCTCTGCATTTTGGTCCTAGGAGGAACAATGTCAACAGTAATGACAGCAAATGAGAAGTTAAGACCAGCCTGACATTGCAGTTCTTTTTAATTCAACAGAAGAAATAGATGAGATGCTACAAATCAGCTTCTCAGTCGTGGTTTAAGCCTTTTACTCACCTCCTCCTGGGATGAGAAGAATTGAAAGAATGTAAACCCCACGGGTTGAGATAAGAACAGTCCAATAACTAAAGTACAATATAAAGCTCCTACAACTACTAGTAATAAGGGAAATAACAAGGGGAGAAAATATAAACCTAAACAGGGAAGGAGGAAAAAAAACCGAATAAACACAAGTGATGCACAGTACACTTGCTCACCGCGCACTGTCTGATACCCAGCCCAAGCTGAGCAGTGATCAGTCCCTTCTGGGTGACTCCCCCCAGTTTATATACTGGGCATTACATGCTGTGGTATGGAATACGCTTTTAGCTCGTTTGGGTCAGGTGTCCTGTCTGCTTCCTCCTGGCTTCTTGTGCCCCCCTCTCACTGGCAGACCATGAGAGACTGGAAAGTCTTTCTTTGGGGTAGCCATTAATGAGCAACGCCTAAAACGTTGGTGTGTTATCAGCATTGTTCTCAAGCTAAATCTGAAACAGCACTGCGCCAGCTACTAGGAAGGAGGCAAGTAACTCTTTTAACAGCTGAACCCAGGACACTCAATGTATGTGCAGCATACTTTTGTATCAGTATGTCACTTCTAAATTTTTTTTTCCCCAAGGATTTTTTTTTTATTATTTACAGTGGGATTTCTAACAGGGTAAATTATAGTATCTTGCTGTCAGAATTTGTTCTGCTTCTTATTTGCCTTCTTTAAGCCTGAACAAGCCCAGTTCTCTCAATCTTTCTAGGGTTTGGCACATGCTCCAGCTCCCTGACCACCTTGGCAGCCATCTGCTGGTAAACTGATTCACTGTCAGTGGCTTCTGTATGCTAAGAAAGTCTAAATAGGACACAGTACACATGTAGTCTCGTAAGTGCTGAAAGCAGAAGGCAACTCTTTCTTTGGCCAGCTTGGTGCTCTGGTAGAGCCCCCTGTGTGGCTGGTCATTGCCACTGCAAGGTTACACTGCTGACTTAGGTTCAGTCTACCCACCAGGTCATACAGGTCTTGCTCTGTAAAGCTCTCTGATCAGTTTGTTCCCAACCCCTTCTGTCATATGAGGTTATTTCTGCTAAGATGAAGGACTTTGAATTTGCTTTTGTGGAACATAAGGAGCTTGTCAGTTTATGTGTCCAGCCCATGCAGTACTGGTTCTCTGAATAGTTTCTTCTTCTTCCTGCCCCTCCCTGCCATGTCTGGTAGCTTCTCCCCCTATTTGCCCCTTATCTGCTCAATCAGAAACCTCTTCCTAGAGGGAATCAGATTGGACAGACATGACTTACCATTGGTAGACCCATGCTGGCTCTTTCCAGTGACCATCTCCTTCGTGTGCCTACATAGGGATTTGCGGAGGATCTATTCTAACTTCTTTGGCTCAGGTCACTCAGGATCCTTCTCCCTGAGGATGGGTATGACATTTACCTTTTGCCAGTCATCAGGAACCTCCTGACTTCTGCGACTTCTGCAGTATTCTGCCTTGGAGTGACATGAGCATGGGCCCCCAACAACACCCTGTCTGGTATCATGGAGAGTTGTATGTGTCTGCAGGGTAAAATACTACAGTAAATATGACCTAAGTAAGAAAAGACACTTGAATTCTCTAAAGTACTGTGAAAAATGGTAGTTATTAGAGCTAACACTTCTGAATAAAGGCAAGGCCATGCAGGTGGCATAATTTCTG